AAGTGAAGAGAACAAAGCAGGATTTTCACAAGACACATTAAATTTGGCAGTAGCTGGATCCCAGCTCCCTTAGACTGCTGCTTGTGATTCCCACCAAGGGAAAACCCTGCTCCAGGAAAATAGTCAAAACTTGACATTTTCCATGTTGGCTTTCTCCGTTCATCTCTACTCAATTCTTTCCGCATGATATCTAAATTGTTCAAATAGAGTGATCCTGTTTCGATTGCTATCAAAGGGTCTTCAGTTCATACATAAGACCATTTACCACCTCTTCCTGTACTTCATGGTCATTTTTTGGAAACCTTTTTGTCAGGATTGCGGTTATTCTCGTTTTCTGTGGTTCTGAACTGATAACAGTAATATTTGCCCTTAATACTGGGGACTGACCATCTTTCTCTGTATAAACTTGGCTTGCTTCAAGCAAAACCCCCACACTTCAGTGATTCCAAGAAAAAAGGAACATAACCACAAGGTTTCCCTGAAGATTTTGAATACAGCTGATTCACTTAACCTCAAGGATAATAAATTATGGAAAAATTTGGACTCCTTCCATGTATTCACCATGTTCTGTAATAAAGCTGAATCCTTTTTTTTTTTTTTTTTCCTGACAGAGACTGGAGCAGACAGTGTTCAGTCAGCTCAAGTGTGCTGTTGAGCGTGTTTGTGGAATGCATAATACCACTGTTTTGAGACTTGATTATTCTGTCTGACTTGTTTCTAATGCCTTAGACTTGCATGCTATTACAGGAAGGCAGAATATATTGTAAAGCAGAAAATTTTGTTCTTAAAGAGCAAATACTCCTCTTCAGGAAAAATAAAAAATCTAGAAGTGTCTTGCTAGGCAACAGACAAGAGCAGTGATGTCTTTAGTAAAGTTTTATTAAAGGACTTCAAAGAAGTCATCCTAATAATTTAATGACATAGAATCATAGAATATCTCAAGTTGGAAGGGACGTATAAGGATCATCGAGTCCAAGTCCCTGCTCTTTGCAGGACTACCTAACACTAAATCATACGACTAAGACACTCCTTGAACTCTGACAGGCTTGGTGCTGTGGGGAGCCTATTCCAGTGGTTGCTCCCCCTCTCAGTGAAGAACTTTTCCTAATGTCCAGTCTGAACTTCCCCTGACACAGCTTCATTCCATGTCCTTGTGTCCTGTCGCTGGTCACCAGACAGAGGAGATCAGCACCTCTCCCTCCACTGCCTCCCTCCTTCAGGAAGACATAGGTTGCTTTGGAGCAATGGACTAGATTCTTACTGAGGAAAGATGACCTCCTCTACGATCATTTTATCATTTCCACCACAGAAAGTATCTTCTCTTCTTGTGGCACTTAGTGATGTCAAACACTTGTTGTCTGTGCTAGGGCATATGAAAGCTGCATAATAATGTTCTGCACCTTAGATAAGCCTGTTGTGTTGATGTAGTTAGAGTAAACACTTGAGCTTATGAACAGTGGTTTCAGTGTTTATGGTACTTATTCCTAAGTCCCTGATTTTTACTGTGCAACTCTCCTTTTTGTACTACTTTGTCATTTCTTAGTAGACAGTAGTTCATAGATTGGCTTTACCTTGGTATTTCTCCATTGTTGCAATATTTATAACGCTGAATTTTTCTTTTGTTTTTCAACTAACCTAGTCTGATATGTAGTCTCTGAAAAGTGGCCCTACGTGTGAAAGCAGCATCCTCTCTCAAATTCAGATTTCTAAGTGCCCAGTGTGGGAGTCATGCTTAGCAAGCTTTTCATGGCCTCTTCCTGTGTTAGAAAATCATCATCTTTCCTTCAGGTTTTCTGCAGAAATATTCTGACCTAGGTGCACGTTTTTTAGCACGTTTCTGCATACGTTAAGGCTCCTGTAGTATGGCCTCTGCTTTGCAAGCAGAAGGGAAGCAAGCCCAATTCTGTGATATGATGGCCAGTGAGAGCATGTGCAGGGCTTCGCAGGGTTAAGGAACTGGCCGGCGTACCCCAGAGCCTGCCCGCTCCACTCCATCACAGCTGCGTTTGTTGAGTTATTTTAGTGTTTTTTACTTAGGGTATGGAATGAATCATACAGCAGAAGGTTTCACTTTTATTACTGAAAACAAATACTCATTTTAAACTTGAACCCAAAAGAATTCAGACTATTGAATTGATGTGGCGTGCTGCGAATGCTGAGATCGGCTCTGGTTCGTGCTGAGGAGCAGAAGTAGGAGATGTGGCAGGAGGAGGGAGCTGGCTCAGCACGCGGCGTTTGGGGCAGTGTAAGGCAGTGGGGAATGTCTGCAGCTTTCCTTCCGCTGCTCTTCATTTGTAAGTTGTTCTGACCTGGTTTCAAATCAGTACTCTTAACTTCCTTGATCACTTGTGTCTGGCAGTCGGTTTCTATCGCTGTTAGTTGCTTCTGGATTTGAGCAAGCAACTGCCGTGAAAAAGACCTTTATAAAACGGGCCAAAATTGTACTACTGTCTTTTAAGTGGATACAGTAGTAACTAGACTGTGCTGTTAAAAACCAACATTCTGAGAACAGAAATCAAACCTGCAGGATGTGTGTCCAAAGCCAGGGATATTTTGGTGTAATTTTAATCATTAAAAAATTACAAAGGAAGGAAAATGCAGTATGCATACTAAGAACATAGATTACTGATACAGAAAGGTGAAATTGGTTAAGTTATTGGCTCCTTAATTTTAAAGAATGTCTCAAAAAAGTTTCCATAATATACCTTAGACACTCTTGATGCTGCTCTGTAAGATACTGTATAAACTCTGACTGTAATGATGTGCTTTCTCAAGAGACGGTGGTAATTCAAATCTTCTCTAGAGCAAAATGGGCTATGATATGCTAAAGATATAGTTAATATGTATGTAGTTAATATTCCTTTTTATTTGGGTAAACATAAACTGCCAATGTTTTGGGGAGGCGAGAAATATATATGACTATTAACGTATCCTTATTAATACCAATTATAAAAGTCTAAAGTTTTGTTACTCCTGCTTTTGAACAAATTAGTAGTTTTCATATAACGTTTATGGTATTTCTCATGTGTTAATTTGTTTAGACAACAGAAAGTGCTTTTTAGCAAACACCACCTGTTTTAGCATGGATCAAAATGAAACATTTTTCCTGACACAATGAGAAAAACCTTAAGAGTTATTTTTATCAACAACAGTGGCAGTGTTTCAGCTTAATTAATTACAAAGAGGCGACAGTTGCTGTGAACTATGTAGTAAGAGCCTGATCCTACAGGAGAGTTAAATCCTAAATCAGTGTGGATGGAGAGGCACTAACAGAGCTTTCCTTGCTCCTCTCCCAGGGGCAACCCTGGGTTTACCTGAAATGCTTATTTTCAAGTCCATCTTACTGGATTTGGAATAGCTACTTTATTGGAAAGCCATACACAACTCTGTTACTAGTTTGTGAACTGAATTACTTCCCTGGCAATTGGAATCAGATCAGAGGAATGGATAATAGAAATTATCCTGAATATAGGGAATCAGCCAAATTATGGCATTGAAGTAATCAATTTGGTCGTTCAAAGGACGGGTATTTGTGTCAAATGGATAGAAAGATGGGTTTCTGGTATGCTCCAGAGGGTGATTTAGTTGGCCATAGAAAAGTTACTGTTCAGGCTTTTGTAGTTGTGCGAACTCTTGTAAGATTGCAGTACATACAAGAACAAATTTGGGGTATTACGAGTAACCTTTAGATGAATTGGAAGCCTTTTGACTCAAGTTTTCGTAACTTCATAACCTATGCTAGAAAAGCATAGAAAAAACAGAAGACAAAACGCTTCTGCAAAGTAATCCTGACTTTTTATTGTACATGGAAATTCATCACACTCTCACACACAAACTTCTCCTTCCTGCCTCCTGGATCCAGAAATCTCTGTTTTTTCTGGCACTCCGAAAAACAATGTGACACAGTGTCCTTTTGGCTGGATTGACAAGAGAAGAGCTCTTTGGTGCCAAATTGTGTTTTATTCCCACTAGCCTGCATTGCCCCAGAGGCAGTATCTGCTGCCTATTCAACACCCCAGGAATGGAGATGCTCATGAGTGGGACATGCTTTTTACAGTCCTCCTCCATGTGACATTTGCATACCTTTTAGGCACTTGTAAAAATGATTCTGATATGCCGTACCGATGTAAGGTTGGAGCAGAGGTATTTTTGCTGTCTCTGGTATGAGGATGACTGAGAGGGGAGGCATGTGTGGCCCAGGGGGAACTTACAGACTTGCTGCAAGGTTTCACCTTCTGCTGGGACATGTTGGGAAAGCTCCTGGTTAATCCTTTGGAAGAAGGGTTCAGGAAGGACAGTTACAGGGAAGACAGCCTATGGGTGTGCATGGGAGGGCATATTTTATATATCAGTGTGTGCTTGTAAGTAATGGGTAAAAAGTCTGAAATTGTTGCCTTTTTAAATTGTAGCTAACTAAAAAGGGAGCACTGAAAAATTTTAGAAACTTTTTTTTTCTGAAGCTTTTCATCTGAATTAAAAGAGCATCTTGAAGGGGTAAGTGTAATTACATCAGAATACAACTCCCATTCAGTCAATACTGTTTGGGAACAAAAAAGTAGCTTGGAGGTTGGGGAAAACCCATGTTAGAAGGGAGATAGGTGAATGCTTGTCAACTCCATCAGACCAAAATCTGATGAAGGTCTTTGATACTTTATTATTTAAGAAATCTTTTTGAGGTTAATTGTGTTCACTTGCTTAAAATGTACAAGGATGCAGCTGACAGTTTTTGTCATGCAAATAATTGAATGCCATGATTGATTAATTAAAGCTGCCTTGGCCCATTTAGTTTTATGCTAAAATGACAATGTGCATCTAATCTTTTATCAAAAATGTAACCAAAACAGATTAGGTTTTTTTCTCTAGTTAATCAAAAATTAAAGCAGAGGGTATTTATTTTCCTTGAATTATTTGACACCTGGGATAGATTTACACTGGTTCTATGGATTGGCAAGTTTTAAAGTTGTATTGGATGACTTTTGTTTATCTCCATCTTTCTTCTTTTTGTAGGAAATTCCACTTATTTGGATGACCATGGACCACCCCCTCAAAAGGTGAGCTGCTGTTGTTTGGTGTTTGATTTCTTCTTGCTTTTTTGATTTGGGTGTTCACCTAATTGTATGTTTACTTGTGTGCAAAGCAACTCTGCTGAGTTTACATCAACAGCACTTGACCTTTCTGACTTTTCCCCCCCAGTGTTTTCAGGCATTTGTAAGTAACTTGGGTTAAATCTCTGTATGATTAAACTAATGAAATTTTTGTCATCAAGTCAAGGGGAGGCAAGATTTTAGTGATGTTTTGTCTCATTCATGCAAAAACAAGACACTGCAGTTGGAGTTAATAAGGCAAATGAAGATGGCCTTTTTACTGGCAGCAGTTCCTACAACGTGGGCTGTGCTGCAGGTGTAATGCTTTCAATCAGAGCAGTAGGATATGTTTAAAGAATGTGCATAATGAGCCCTTTTATAGGGATAGGGTACACTGTTCCCATCACGTATGACTGTGCAGCATTGACTTCGCCCTCACCGTCATCATGACACCTTATGACATTTCAGGTGAGGACCAGCATCGTGATGGTTTCTTCAAGAGGAAAAAGTGGAAGCAGGCGTTTAGAGTCTCTTGTTTTGTTTACTTTTGGTTTACTGTCTGTGGGTTTATTCTCTAAAACATGATTTGCTACTATCTTGTGTTTTGTCTTTCCATACAAGGTGGCTATTATAATTCCTTCTGTATAGTAGCTTTAAGAAAAAAAAAAAAGACAACTGTTACTTTGCCATGTTCTAATTTCTCCAGACTCACTTCTATTTCTGTAAGTACAGTGTAGTATCTTACTGAGGTATTTGGGTAGAACTAACTGTGGTTTTGAAGACTTTATGCTGTGCAGTGGCAACACTTGAAGGTGCAGCTTTTCTGAAAGTTTCCTTTCCAAATTATGCGAAATTCTTACTGTTACTTGTAAAATACCAAAGCAGAAAGAGGGTGGGAGATACTGTGATTATGTATATGATAATAATTAGCTATAGGCTAATTTTATATAATATAGCCTATGGCTTTCTTTTATATGAAACTTTTCAAATAGTATTGTTTTAATAGAATTTAGATGCCTGAATGCTTTTGTAAGCCCTATTGGTATTTAAGTAGAAATTTTACCTGTTTCAAGAACTCCGCGTGAAAGGGTGAGATTCCGTGGTCACTTCTAGCCAAAAAGTGTAGTCTGCTGATGAAAGGGTCATTTTTTCCTCGGCAGTGCAGGATTCCCACTGGGCTGATGTGCATGGGCTAGAGAAGTTACTGAAAACACGTCTGTCTTCTAGTTTAGTTTTCAGACATTATTTCCCTGATGTGGCCCACCGTGAATGCTAGTGGAGCAGGTGAGAGTGAGGAGTTAAGAGGGTGGAGGCGAGAAGCCACTATCTTTGGTGGTAGTCCTCGCTCCTCTCTGTTCAAACTGACTATGAAATCACACCCTGAGCCACCAGGCGTTGAGTTTGAACGCTCAACCATGTGTGTGCATCACTGTGGTGAAACAGTTGGCTTTTGGTCAGCGGAAGGAGGGTAATGTGGAAAGTGATTCGGCTTAGCTTAATTATCAGTGAAAGCAAGCTACAATAATCTGGGTTTCTTAACCTTTTTGCTGCAAACTCTGTGTGCACAAGATCTGTAATTTTCAACTGATATGTGGAAATTTGTTACACTCTTAAAGTTCAGACAGCTCAGAGGGATGATGTACATCTGATTTTCTTCCTCTCAACACAAATTACTCACTTTTTCTGCATGCACAGTTACAAAAACAAACAGATGTAGACAGAAGTGACAAAATCAACATGTTAAGTTCATCATTACTGAGATGGGACGGGGGGTAATCTAAGGCTAAATGAACGTTTCACACTTAAAATTTATTTAGTACCCTCTTGTGCTCTTGAAAGATACTTTTTTGTTATTTGGGTACCATCTGCTTGTCTTGCCCAGAAGTACAGCAGCTTGCATGGAGTAAAGCATTATGTTTTTCAGGTCTCCACAGTGAATACTCAGCTCAGAAGAGTAAAGCAATGCTTATTCTGGACCTGTATTTTTCATGCTTGCCTTACCATTAAGAAATGCTTAGCTGTGCCATTAAGGAAAAGGCTGTAATCTAGATAAGAGTTTTTAACCTTGAAAACTTTATTCAGATTTTGGTCCTTTTACTTCAGGAATTTTGTGTTACCAATTAATGGTGCTGTAGGTGGGAGCTATACTCCAATGGGAGTAGCAGTTGGACAGATTTATTTAATCCAGGCACTTTCCTGTTTACATTATGGACATTTCTTTTGCCTATCTAAAAATGTAATTTTGGGCTATGTTCACACAGCTTTATCCAGCTACAGCTCAGCTGTCTGTAGAAAGGTCAGCTGGTTAGGTACCTACACGATTGATTGATTGGTTATATAGGTAGTCTTTGATTACCTACTTAGTAAAGTTTTTGGGCTTCCTCTGTAATCATCCTCACTCCTGAAAGCTTGGTGAATAGCTCAGTGAAATAACAGGCTATAGCCTCGTATAAGTTACAGGTATTTTGCTTTTTGAAGTACCTGCCTGTGTTTAGAAACATTGATAAAAGATGGGTGCACACATTTTTATCATGCCTTGGACAACATGTGGGCAAGCCTGCTTGTTCTTGGGTGGGTTTTTTTGTTTTGTTTTTCATTCTCCTAATCAAAACATGGGCGGGGATTAGTAAAAGGGCAGATAATTCCTGGTATTTGCTTAGAGTCATGTTTTGCATGGAGATGCTCTTGCTTTGTAAATCTCACGGATTGCATTATTGGCTAAGTGCAATTATCTACCCTCCTACAGCTTCAGCTCTGAACTGTGAACTCTGCCTGTGTGAGTGAAACTAATTCACTGTAATTGTCATCATCTTTCAGGTAGCCTCTAGTCATATGAGGTTAGATCATTAAGGTCAATGAGTGGTTTAATTTGACTTACGAAAAGGTGTCAGAAGAAATTAATCCTGAATCCAACATTTAAAATATTTCATTACAAATAGTATTTTCAGTTGTGATCTTCACAAAGCACAGACGAAATGATGCACCTTTATTAATAGCATGTGTAATGCACAGATGAAAAAGCCCTCAGTTTGTTTCTTTCAATCCTGGCAGTCACTTACCCTGGGAAGCATACCCTTGCCCTGCCGCATTCAACTGTGGTCAGTCCTATGTGGCACTATTATGTGAAGCTCTCCAGCGTTTTCCTAATGCCTGCCGTATTCATCAGAGGGATTTACAGCATGCCCTGAATGAAATGAAAACACGAGAGGGGGATTTGGTAGGTTTAGGAAGTAAGTCTTAGAGTCAAAAGGATTCTAATTTTATGTGTCTGCTTAAAAATGCTTAAAAGCTAGAAATCGAGATAATGAACAACAGTCCATTGCCCGGGGTTGAAATGACTGATAGCTAATATTGGCGGTATGTAGTTAGCTGTAGTGGAAGGCCACCAACAGTTGATATGCACTGGACTGTAGCTGTTTTGCAGAGTACATTCCAGTGTTTTGTTGGAAATCATATTAGCTTTGGCTTTTCGTCATGGCTAGGTGCCAGAACTGGTTTTGTTGAATACTGTGGGTTTTTTCTCCCAGTGGAAGAACTGAAAATAGCACTTGTTCTCTGAACAAGGAATAGCATCATCACATTTCAGGAGATCAGGGTACTGGGCTGTTTTTTCAAATAAAGGTGACAGCAGCAATTTTCTCAGTGCAAGCAGAGAAGGAAAGCTTTGCTCACTGCTGTACATTAACTTTGCTGGCATGGTTCTGGTTCTCCCTTTAAGGCCAGTTGAGCCAGCTTTTCAAGTCTTCCCCCAGTAAAGGTTTACTTGACTGTTAAAGGTTAGCAGTGGTAATCCTTGCCAGTGGTATGAAGGTACTGTGTCTGCCATAGGTCACTCTTTGGTCCTTAGGCACCAAAGACTTGACCAGAGATTGACTAATCCTAGATTTTCGTGAGTTCTAAGACAGATCTCTGTGTGCTTCTCTGCAGGTAGATGCAACCTCCACTAACCCTAGCACAGCTCTGGTCTTGCTAGTGTTAGTATGTGACAGATAAAAAGAGAATATAGTTGAGCCAAACGTAACCTCCTACCCGGTCAGTAAGAGCTAACTCTTCAAGTTAAAGCACTTGAATTTCCTAGTTCAAATCTCTACCTCCTTGGATTTTTTATACACATCTGAAAAATATAAATTTTAAGGTTTTTGCAAAGTGATCATTTGTTTATCCTTTCTCTGTAGATTGGACTCTAAATGATGCCTATAGATGATGCTACTCTGTTTTTAAAAAATACCTGTGAAATTGGTGTTCATTAGTGACTGATGGTGTTCGGTTGATATATTTCATGTCTGAGCATTTCAGCAAATAAAATGGGTGTATTTTGTTCCAGTACTTAGGCTGGCTATTTCTTTAGCAAAACTTCCTGAGGTTTTATTCCTGCATCCAACGTGGAGAAGCTGACCTTTGAGGACAAACGATGCGATCTTTATCAAACCTACTGTTGTTATTGATTGAAAGCTTTTCCCCTGAGAACTTGGCAAGAGCATCAGGATATGTCCGTCTTTTGGTGCAGCTGATATATACGTGTAAAGGAGCTGTGCACATAGATGACAGATAAATTACATTCAAGTGGTCTATTCTCCTTTTCTTGACGGTTTTCCCATGGGATGCCTGTCACAGACCCAGTATATTCTGGCAGCTGTTTAGGTGTCAGCAAAGCCCTAGGCTTAGCATGTGTGCGACAGTGCTTCAAAGCTTTAAGTGAATACAAAAACGGATGTGGGTCAGGATGAGGTCAAAATGAAAAGAAATAAAATGCATACACAAAGTAAGTTTGATCTGATTTTATTGGTTTGAAGCTGGAAAGTGGATAAATACCCTTTTCACCATTCTTTCAGTTCTTACCTAGTACTTATGTAGATAATTGTTCGTGTTTTCCTTATGGATCAAGACTGTGGGAAAAGATAGCAGAATCCTTGAGTGGCCTTTGGGATGTATATACTTGTCACCCTCTGTTGTCAAGTAGGTTTTTT